ATATCTCACCTAGCAACATGTTGTCATATAGATATCTCACCTAGCAACATGTTGTCATATAGATACCTCACCTAGCAACATGTTGTCATATAGATATCTCACCTAGCAACATGTTGTCATATAGATATCTCACCTAGCAACATGTTGTCATATAGATATCTCACCTAGCAACATGTTGTCATATAGATATCTCACCTAGCAACATGTTGTCATATAGATACCTCACCTAGCAACATGTTGTCATATAGATACCTCACCTAGCAACATCTTGAGGTCATCAGCGGGCAGTTGCTTGTTGGACGCTTTCTCCTTGTTCTCTTCCTCGTCCTCAGCCACCACCAGCTTGGAGAGACCTGTCAGACCATGTATAGATACCTCACCTAGCAACATCTTGAGGTCATCAGCGGGCAGTTGTTTGTTGGACGCTTTCTCCTTGTTCTCTTCCTCGTCCTCAGCCACCACCAGCTTGGATAGAGCCCTGTCAGACCATGTATAGATACCTCACCTAGCAACATCTTGAGGTCATCAGCGGGCAGTTGCTTATTGGACGCTTTCTCCTTGTTCTCTTCTTCATCCTCAGCCACCACCAGCTTGGATAGAGCCCTGTCGTCCTCGGAGGACTCGTGGCTGGATTGGTCGACCGTTTCTTTGAATTTCAACTAAAAACAACAACAAGTACAAAATTATGTAGTTACGTGTTAAAACTGGATGAAATTTGACTACAGCGAAAACTCGGAACTGGCTGGTGATAAGGAACTAAATATCCCCAAGGAACATAAGGCGAAATATGAAAAAATAATTTGAACCTCCCATAGAAAATTGCCGATCAGCTTTAAGTTACAATGGGAGGATAAAACATTTCTTTTTAATATTTCTAACTATGTTTCTTGGGGAAAGTTGATCCTTATCATATCACCAGCCGGTTTTGAGTTTTCACTATGCGTCAAATAGGGCCATGCCTATGGTAGGCCTCAATATAAAAACAAAATTAATAGTTATAGCTACATGCATTATTCGGAAAGAAAACAGGGGAATACGATTGTAAGAAAAGGCTGAAAACAGAGTGAAAAAATAATGTGTATTCTTACCGCATTTAAATCCAGATGCCGCTCCCAATGCTCAAAGAAATCCCTGAACTCCACTTTTTTCTGACAAGTCTTGCACTGATACAGCCCAGTAGACCTTGAATCATAAATCAATACATACATACATAGTATAAAGTAAAATCCCTTCTCGTGTTTGTTTCCTTATATCTTTAAAACCCCTCAACGGATTTGGATGCGTTTTTTAGTACATAGAGTAAGTTAAGGAGCAGGTTTTTAGGGTTTCGTAGTCTACTAGAAACCCTTATCATTTCGTCAAGTCTGTCTGTCTGTCTGTCTGTCTGTCTGTCTGTCTGTCTGTATGCCGCGCCCTCATAACTTCGTCAGTTTTAAAGCTATCGACATCAAATTTGGTGTCAAAATAGATCTTGTTGACCCAAATTTAGATATGTAGAGAAAAAAATATTATAATTGTTTTTTGAACCCCCTTCCCATACATGTGAAAGGGGGGCAAAAAAAAAATTTTTCTCCTGTAATATTGAGTAGGGCATCGTTGGATAGGTCTTTTAAAACTAAGGGGAGGTTTCTTTGACACAAAGTCTCTAAAATGTTTCTGTCTCGAGATATTTGCTTTTAAAAGGGGGGTTTTTTAGCTATAATTTGTTCCAGCTGTAACTTCTAAAGTATGCACGCTAAAAATTTGAAAAAAATCTGGAATATAGGTCTTAATATGTAGTTACCATGAAAACTATAACGAATACGGTACCACCTAAGATTAAGGAGATATGAAAGATTTTTAATTTGCGGTTGGTAACCATACGGCTGCAAACAAACCAGCAACAAAATTAACTTTGTAACGCTGAAAGACCTGATATTTTAACGTTGACTACGAAACCCTATTTGTGAGCGTGTCTGACACGCTCTTGGCCGCTTTTTTAAATATTCTTTACCTCAAATTTTAACCCCCAAAGGGGTAAAAAGGGGGTTAAAAGTTTGTATGGAAAAGCATTATTTTTAAATGCGATCTGTTTTAAAATTTGCTATTAAATAAAAAAGCTAAAAAAAAGAAATACATGTTTCAGGGATTTTCGATTTTTAACCCGTAAAGGGGTAAAAAAGGGGTTAACAGTTTGTAAGGAAAATCATTATTTTTAAATGCGATCTGTTTCAAAACTTGCAATTAGGTCAAACAGCTAAAAAATTGAGTATGTCTTTCAGAAATTTTCGATTTTTAACCCCTAAAGGGGTAAAAGATGGGTTGCAGCGGGTGAAACCGCTGACGGGCAGCTAGTTATTTATAAATTCAAGATCACAGGTAAAAAAACAAGGTGTTAAAATACATATAGAAGGGTAGAGCCTTAGAGTAAATTTAAGCAAGCTATAGAGTGCGCCTCTAAAGTTAGAACGATTGGCAGTAGTCAGAGCGTTATGCTACTGATAGCCAGTGACAACACTATTGAACCTCTATAACTTCTCATACATTTGATTTGACGTCTGTATCTAGGGAGCAACTGCTTACGTTTTCGATTTTACGTTTTTGGTTTTCTGTTCGATACGCGCACTCTATAGCTTGCTTATAAATAAATAAATAATATACTCTAAAGTGTGATGTACCTTACAAGGCATACGAATATTCATGCAAACACAATTATAACCTACCTTGAAGTCATAGTTGTAGTATTCCCTTTCAGCACTTGCAGTTTCAGAAAAGAGTTCTTAATATGACTGGTGAGATGGCGCGCTGCGACGGCGTTGTAGCAGTATTTGTTGCATCTTGGACATCGGTTCACCTTAAAGCGATGCGTCGTGAAGTGCCCGAAGTATGCCTATAAATAAAATAAAACAGAATATTAAATTAAAATATTGGGCAGTTGGGTTGCGGTAATTTCAAAGTTGTATTTTGCGGTAGAAATCCGCCACTTTGAATTTATGAGTTTTTAAAATAGCCAGTGTTACTCGCGCTGCTGAGACACCTCATAGGGGTCGTCCGTTAATCATGTGATGTTTTTTTTTTGCCATTTTTTGACCCCCCCCCACCCCCTTGGTGATACATGGTGATGTTTTGAACTACCCTGAAATCACGTGTATTAAAAAGGCTTTTTTTGAATATAAAATATAATAATTTAATTAAATACCTATATATGAAAAATTAAAAATTGTAACAGACTGTCTAGAAACTCGCTAAAAGTAGTTCTTTTCAATTACCAAAAAAATTAATACACGTGATATGACAGCTACACCCCCCCTCTCCTCTCGTGATGTTTCGTGATTCTTGACGTACCCCTCCCTCCCCCCCCCCCCTTTTAACTTCACGTGATTAATGGACGACCCCATATTGCAAGATCCGCCCGGTGCCTCCCACCCCAACCTATAATTTCGTCTGCCTTATACTACCTTATTTTTAGAAGGGGACCTGAAATGGCAACATTATTGTTGTCATCTTGTTCAAATGTCATGTAATAAGAAAAAGACGTAAACAATATAATGTTGCCATTTCGGGTCCCTTTCTTATATGAATCAGATTATAACTAAACGAATCCTGGATCTGCTTAGGTCGATGGCACGACAACGTCTATGATTTTGCCAAAAGCCGACTTTTGGACAAAATCCTAATTTTGCTATCGTGCTGCGACATTTAAATAGCAAGGATCACGGAAATTCTGTTTTTTTTTTTACGTAGCCTGTTCAGTGTCCCACTGCAGGGCAAAGGCCTCCCCTCTCTCGCGCCACCCGTCTCGATCTTGGGCCTCCAGCTGCCAGTTTTGGAGGAAGACTTCCAAGTCGTCTCTCCATCTTCGGCGAGGCCGGCCACGACGACGGCGACCATCTTGTGGCACCCACTCTGTTGTTATTTTGGCCCATCGGTCCCTATCCATGCGGCAGACATGTCCCGCCCAGTCCCACTTCAGTTTCGCAGATTTTTTGCCAACATCTATTATGCCCGTTTTGGAGCGCAGGGTTGTGTTTCTAATCCGATCGATCCTCTTAACACCCAATATGCTGCGCTCCATGGGGCGTTGGCAAACCTTGAGTTTGGACTTTTGTGCTTCAGTCAAAGACCATGTTTGTGCGCCGTACGTCAGGACGGGCAGAATACACATGTCAACGTAAACTCGTTGACATGTGTATTCTGCCCGAAGGAAATTCTGTATCTAAGGGATTTTATCTAGATAAACCTATCTAGATACATTTCATTTTCCAAAAATGCTTCTCCGCACTTTCGCGTGATTTGTAAAACAACGCCATCTATTGAAAAACCGAGGTCAACTAGGTACTATATCTACCTTTAAATTGACGAAAGTGGTGTCACATTTAGTACATATGATTTCCGGCCAGGCGTCAGCAAATTGCGGCTGTGCGCGCGGCCCGTGCTTCCTCTTCCTTTTACAACCAGAGTTCTTATGTTCTGCGAACGCGCGATGATTCCCCGACCAATTGCATCTCTTGCATCTGTACAGTTTCCTTTTTATTATGGACTTTTCGCTCGCTTCTGAGCTGGATTTCGGGTTGTCTTTTGATGATTCTACGTTTTCAGTGGTATTTTTCTCGTCTCTGTCAGGTTGTGAAGGTTCACTTTTGATGTTCACGTCAGGCTCGAATTGAGCTAGGTCCATATCGGAAGTAATCTCTTTAGACATTTCTGAAGTGGTTTTGGGCTCGTTTTCTGTGAATGAAATTAAGGAATTGTAAAGCAGACGAAATTAAACTCAAACAAACACTCGAATGCGGTAATTTCAAAGTTATATTTTGCGTTTAATATCCACCATTTTGTATTTATGTAATTTTAATACAGTCAGAGTCACTCGCGCTGCTGAGACGAATCTTAACGCCTAGATCCGCCCAGCCGCTTGGACTATAGCCTGAGAAAAAGAATTTCTTGCCTACATACATACATACCTACATATATATTCTCGAAAAACATAACCCTCCTTCTGAAGAAGTCGGGTACAAATATTATGCATCGACAGGGGCTCGAACCCGAGCCGCATGGGGTACCATCCTACCGCTCTACCACTGAGCTATCAATGCACCGATTGATGCTTGCCAAATGTCAATCTCTTGATGCTCGTCTTTAAGCGACGATTTAGCTACATCTAGTAGAAACTAGAGCCTTTAGGTGCATAATGTTCATTATGCAAAATGTCCAGTTCGCAATAAGTCCAGTTTATACGAAATACTTGGTCACTGACCCATGAGTTTTGGGGAAAGTTATTTAGTGTTATGGTCTGAACTCATCCCTTAATTTCTCTAATTGTACTTTTTGCAAACTGGTCATTTTTAGGGTTTCGTAGTCTACTAGAAACCCTTATAGTTTCGTCATGTCTGTCTGTCTGTCTGTCTGTCTGTCTGTCTGTCTGTCTGTCTGTCTGGCTGTCTGTATGCCGCGCCCTCATATCTTCGTCAGTTTTAGAGCTATCGACATGAAATTTGGTGAGAAGATAGATCGTGTTGACCCAAATAAAGAAATGTTAAGAAAAAAATATTTTAAATGTTTTTTGGACCCCCTCCCATACAAGTGAAAGGGGGGCAAAAATTTTTTTTTTCTTCTGCAATATTGAGTAGGGTATCGTTGAATAGGTCTTTTAAAACTAAGGTGAGGTTTCTTTGAAACAAAGTCAATAAAATGTTTCTGTCACGAGATATTTGCTTATAAAAAGGGCGTTTTTAACCCATAATTTGTTCCAGCTGTAACTTCTAAAGTATAAACGCTAAAAATTTGAAATAAATATGGAATATAGCTTACAATCTGAAGTTACAATGAAAACTATAACGAATATTGTACCTTTAAAGGTTTCAGAAAAAATTGAGTTTTTCTATTTGCGGTTGGTCATCATACTGCTGCTAACAAACCAGCAACAAATTAAGTTTGTAATGCTGAAAAACCTGATATTTAAACGTTGACTACGAAACCCTATTTGTGGGCGTGTCTGACACGCTCTTGGCCGGTTTTTTTTAAATTAGATCATCTTCAAACTGGACATTTTGCAATTGGACATTTTGCAAACTGGACATTTTACAAACTGGACATTATGCAAACTGGTCATTTTTTTTCACCACTGGACATTATGCACCTAAAGAAACTAGAGGTGCCGGTCTATAGTGGACCATCGATAGCCTATCGAAAAAAATCTAACGGTAGTTTAAAATACAGCAATACTATCGTTAGGTTTGATTGTACGCGTCGCCGACATTGGCTCAGCGCCATCTATCGATGATCTTACTTACTTCTAAGTACCAGTTTTTTAAAAGCTGTCAAAGCAGGCCTCATACTATCGATATCGATACTATCATCGTTCCAACAACACTACTAGTGTCGAAAGCATTGACAAGTTTATTTCTTTACTCACAAAATTTGCCAGAATTACAGCAGTATTATGCCAAGGCGCTGATAAACTTAAATAAAATACTTAGTACATGACAGAGTTCAAACTACTAACTAAAGCTTCACAGAATTTTAATATAGTGACTCTTAGTTATCGCCAATCCGCCTGCCAAGCGTGGTGAGTATGGCAATACCCCCCAATTCGGGGGAGGCCCATGTCCAGCAGTGGACTGTTGTGGCTGTAAAGGTAAGGACTCTTAGTTATTATTAACTTTATTATTACCGTTTTCTGTAGTTGAATTCCCAGTGACAGTTACATCGAATCTCGCCTTGTCGGTGCACAGCATAATGATGTCTTCTTCATATTCTTCATCTGCCTCCATATCTTCTTGCTTTATGTGAACTTCTTCAGCCAGACTTATACCTGTAAGTTGCATACAGATCAGATATGTTATGGAGCTCCGTAACCGAATCCGAAATAAAAGTTTCGAATAATTTTGGATAATAACGGTGTTTAAATAAACCCCGTTACGACTAGTTGTTCTCGATAAATGAAGCTCACGACGACCTATGCGTTGTCTGTTTCATTCTGTGATTTAGTCATAAATAACAATATTTTTCACTTACTTAAGAAAAGAATTGTTTCCGTAATAAAATATAATATGATATCCGTAATTGAAACTATCAGTAACTTACTGATAATCAAATCAGAAATAATTTAAGAAAAGTGTTGTTTTCGTAATTTAATACAATAAATATAATATCCGTAATCGAAACTATCAATAACTTACGTATCTGTATACGAAATCAATATTTAAATTTTTCAATATCCGTATCCGAAACCGTAACCGATATCCATGACAGGGCGGAACAGGACATTTTAAGGGCGATCCAACTACAAAACTGAACAAGATTTCTTCGAAATGGAAAAAAAATATGGAAGGTCCATTTTCTGCTTTCATAAAAAGTTTCCGATAAAAAATGTTAAGTTTTGTGACTAAAACAAACCCCTTAAATATTTGCACTTAATTAAATGTAACCTTATATATTGTTGCATCCTTACCTGTGAGTTCAAGTGATTTGGCGTCTTTCGAAGCTCGAAATACTTTCGACAGCTCTTCCAAACACGCGTCGTGCTCTTTTTTGATTGCACTCTCAACATCAACGTCTGAATCTTCAGAATCATCGTTTTCCTCCTTAATAGTAACATCTGTTTCCATCAAATTGTCCCCGGATGGAGTATTTTTATTATGTTCTTCTATTTCGACACCGGGTTCGTTTTTGACAATCGACAGATCGACATTTAGTTGTTCATTTTCTGTAGAACCCTTTTGTGGATTTTGGTCTGTTACATTTCCACTGTCATCATAATTTTCGTCATCGGAATCATCAATAACAATACAATCCCATTGAGGCTCCTGAATTTGCACGTCATCTTTGTTGGCAACGGAATTTAGTAATGCGTCGACCGAATTTTGAGTCTCTTCTATATCTTTGTCATCTTTGTTGGCAATTGAACTTAGTAACGCGTCTACCGAGTTTTGAGTCTCTTCTATATCTTTGTCATCTTTGTTGGAAACACAACTTAGTAAGGCGTCAACCGAGTTTTGAGTCTCTTCTATATCTTTGTCAACTTTGTTGGAAACACAACTTAGTAATGCATCGACCGAATTTTGAGTCTCTTTTATATCTTCGTCATCTTTGTTGGAAACACAACTCAGTAACGCGTCGACCGAGTTTTGTGTCTGTTTTATATCTTCGTCAGTAACCATTGTATCGTCAACATCTACATCTACATCTTCGTCTTTGACACTGATGTCATTCGCGTCTTCTGTTTTCAATCCTTCAATAGCATTCAATAATTCGTCATTAGTGCTATTAGAAGTGTAACTTTTGAACAATTGGTCATTACTCTGAGATGGGCGTTTGGGTTTTAACATGTCATTTAAGGCACTGATTTTGTCAATTCTTTCTTTGTCTAAGTTTGACAGCTTTAAATTGCCATGTCTTATACAGATTTCGTTGGTGGAATTTCTTTTAGCCATATCGTCGATTGGTTCTTGTTTTGGGACTATGTCTGCAATTTTTTTGAGGTGGTCCCCAAGGGTTTGAGTTTTGGGCTGTTTGTTTTTATCTGAAATTCATAAAGGAAATAGACGTCAAAACAAGTTGTAGTACCTATATTTAGGTTTTTGTAATTAACCCGACGTTTTGGACACTTTGCAGTGTCCGTGGTCAACTAAAATCCGTTGTTTTATTATAAGTGATAGTTGTACAAACAAAAGAAAATATTATAATTTAATCTAATTTAATTCTCGTGTACAGTAATTTTGTGTCACAATGAAGGCGCGTATTCATTTAGCGACATTGATTAGTTTATGCCGTTATTTTTAGTGTAAGATATAGTAATGGTTTTGATATTTCTGTTGATATTAACCAAATTAGCATGACTAATTTTTTCGCACATCCGACCCATTCTAAGACACAATATAAAAAATAAAATACTCACCTATAATCATATCCTTGATAGTAAGTTCTGAGGTGATCATCATACAACTTCGTGGCACGATTATCTGTAAACAAGTATTCATCTATGTATTGTCTGACATCCGGGTTTATCGGGTTGTTGAACGAGTCACCTTAAGTTTATAATCTCTTCTAAAAATCTCTTCTCTTGTCAAATAGTTTCTGATGTATTTTTGGTTATCTTAGTGGTGTATGTATTTTTCGTTATCTCGACAATCGTTGCATTTATAACACTTATGAGGAAAAAATGAAAATTATAGGGTAAAATATACAATCAAGATGACACTTACCGGGTTTTAAATGACAGTCAAAATGATCACTTGTTTGACAAATGCCATCTTGCGTCTCACGTCTCCTTTATGGAGCTTGTACCTTAAAATAACACTTACCGGATTGAAATCTCTCCTCTTATCAAATCTCTTCTGATGTATTTTCGTTTTATGTTTCCGGAAGCAATCTTCGTCGCTCAAAAGTACGTTATCTCGACAATCGTTGCATTTATACGCCTGTATGAAGTTCCGGCTGTGCTTCAATAGGTGGTCTGCTTCCATGCACTGGCTTTTCAGATATCTGGAATTAGAAACAAGCAGAAGTGATAAAAAACAAAAATCTATCTATGAAAATTTCAGAGTAAAATTTTGCGTTTAAAATCTGCCATCATGAATTTATGATTTAAAAGTCAAAACATTTATTTCTTAGTAGGAATTTACAAGATTCTCTTTAAAAAGTCACATTCTAAGTAATCATAATACGTATGTTAGGGACGGTGTAACGAAAACTTTGCAGGCATGACCAGACCATCAAACTGAACAGCTTTTACTATGGGAGCCAATGGTGGGAAACGAAAAAAAAATTCCGACCTCCCATACAAAATTCATCAGTCAGCTGACTGACTTTGTATGGGAGACCGGAAAATTGTTTTCGTTTCCCACCATTGGCTCCATAGTAAAAGTTGTTCAGTTTCATGGTCTGAGCACGCCTGGAAAGTTTTCGTTACACCGTCCCTAACAACCTGTACGTATGGATAAGTCATTGTAAAAAAGAGAAAATTGTAAGACGCAATTTTCTCAATTTTATAACATTTTTGAGTTCCTAGTAAAAACGCGGCTCGGGCGGGATAAAAAAAATAAAGGCACTGTCTCGGGGCTGGCCAGGCTAACCATACAGCATGTAACTTTAT